ACAGCCAGCTTGGTCCCTCTCCAAACTGCAGTGGCTCTGTGTAAGCACAGCTAAAAATTATTGCTAAAATCTTGCAGACAGAAGTCCAACTGGCTAAGATTGTTACTCTGTGTTGTCTGAGTTTGTGTAAAAGAGAAATAAACTTAAATTTCCTCCTTTAGTGGAGAAACAAATGGTAAGATGTTATGTGAATTATTACATCGTTTAGGTGAGGATATCAAAAAGTGCTCCTTTCATTCATGCTTTGTGAATTTGATACCCATAAAGGTATTTTTGTAAAAAGCAGTCTCTCAGAAAACAGTTCTCTTTTTTTGTACGAAACAGCCATCAGGCTACATAAGTAATAGTTGTAATCTCTTTGTTCAATATATTTTCTCCTGTTCTGAAGTGTTCTGAGAAGATTAAAGAAGTGACAAGGACAGAGCAGAAAAAATTACTCCATTTTATAGAGTAAAAATATCCACTAAGATATACTTTTTTTCTGATTATGATGATAAAAAAAGATATGCCAGGTTCCCCTCAAATCTATCATGAGATCCTTTTCAAACAAACAAATGCATTAACCAACAGGTGACTTCTAATATATTCACCAAATATTTCTTTGCTGCAAGTCCTATCTCTATACTACAGTCCAGTCTAGTCTTATTTTATTCCTGACTGTACTTCGTAAGTATATCCTGGACCTGGTTCACTGCTTGCCTCACCTGGGACTGTTGATAGACCCTGCACCCTACTCTGCTTGCTGTGTTTAGATGCTGTGAGACTGTGCTCTTATTCATGAATGTACTGCTTGAGCTGCGGTCACCCTTGATTCCTTCCCCACTGGCCCTTGCTGCTTCTTGTCATGTTTCTCAGCAGTATATACATAATCAATAATGCCTAGACATATTCATACAGTTGAATACATTCCAGATGAAAGCAATAGAAGCCAAACCTACACAAAGATGGGGGAGAACGGAGTCCCTCAGGAAGATTTAGCAGGCGTTCTGGAGAAGTGACTCATTATGAGCTTCAAGCATGATCTGCAGCAGGAGTGATTTGTGTAAGCCTTGGATGCAAAATCAAGAAATACAGTGTAAGACAAGGGAGGTTGTTTTACAGCACAAGAGCAGAGTAATCTAGCTGGGAAGAGCATAACATGAACTAATGTCTGGGAGGTAAAAACAAGTATCTCCTGACTGAAATAAAGCAGAATTACTCAACAGTGGAGGCATTCAACTACACTTTGTCCATATAAGTGTCCAAACTGCATTTATTTGCATTTACCCTTATTTTAACTTCTGTACTATGAGCAAAAGAGCAACTCAGTCTTCATGGCCTACTTAATACTTGGCTTCTGCCATGAGAAAGGCAGCAGTGAGGCCTTTCTGTAACAACAGTGGGGATTACATTTCGTAATAAATAAATGGGGGAACTGTGCTGGTGTGTAAATGCTTCCATACTTCCCAGCTGCCAATATGCATGACATTTCAGGCAATACTAGCAAAGACTAAAGACTTCTAGCTTTTTTCTTTCCTCTGACCCCTGTAAATTTAGGACTGTAAAACCACAGGATCACCCCTTCTGCATTCGACCCCCATTTTTCCTTTCTTCATTTAGTCTAAGATTGGGCCCACTTTCATAGATTCTGAACTGCTGTGGCACAAAACCTATTGACAAGGTTGGGATGAAACATAGGAAGCCTGTTTTTCCTGATGTTGACAAAATGTACCACTGTCCATCTAAAAAGTTCTGTGCTGTAGGCATGGCTTGGTTGATGTCCTAAGTACTTTAAGATGGCTAGAAGTGAATGGTCAGTTCTATTTTATTTGGCATTACTGAAACCAACAGTGGTAACGCTGCTGCAGCTCCCTTTCCCTAGGTCCACCCAGTAGCAAGACTGAGTGTACATTCTCATTAGCATACAAATACATAGATGATACAAATATATGTATATACACAGCCGGCCACACAAATCTATACAGACAGAAACACAGATGGCGTTAACAGACCTGTTCGTATGAGCCCTTGAGGCCTGCAGCCCCATGCCACTTCATGGTACAGAGCCCCTGCACTTGCAGATACAGTCCCTCATGCACTGTTTTGCACATGCTTTTGCGCACACACACACACATACTCGATCCCAGTAACTGGCCTTAGATACTCAGTTTACCCAGCAGTTGTCCCTGAACTCACCGCTCCTCCAGTTGCCTCACACAACCACACGCACAGTGGGAACCACAGTTATACACTATGGATCTCCGAGAAACTAGCCTCAGACATGCAGACTGCTTGCTAGCTGGCCCTGGATGCTCACTCTCCCAGTAGCTGGTACTGGAGTGTGCAAGCCCCTGAAGCCTGCAAACTGCACTCCAGTTGTTGGTACACAGCTTAGTACTACATGAGCTTTCTACTGTTCTCATAAGAGAGAAGCTATTCCTGTAAGGATTGTCAGTCAATGTTCTTTAACATGAGTTCCTTATGATACTATACATCACTAAAAGTTGTGTTGTGGGATATCATTGCTACAAAAGACCAAAAAAAACCCAACTCATGTTTCTTGAATGGAAAAGAAGCTAAAATTTTATTCCTAATTCAAGGACCTGGGTCCTCAGCCTCTGAGCTGTTAGTTTTAAAGATGTGATACAGTACATAAAGATACTATACTATACTGTACTATATTATACGATTGGATATGATATAATGTGATAAGATACAATATGATATTGAAATACAGGGAAAGCCCAGCAGTGATTACAACAAAGTGGAAAAAACAGGAGGGGGACAAAGAACCACCAAGAAATAATATTCAGAAGTTCTTAGGCAGAAGCATAGATACTTTTTTACGGAAAGTAACAAGTATAATTTGCTGTGTTTCTGCTGATCTGATGAAGAGGACTCTTCATTTACTCTCTACACAACTTGCCACCAGCCTATTGAAAACAAAATAAACAAATAAAAAAATTAAGCAAAAGGAAACAATACAATAAACTAAAAAATAATAGACCATATTTAACAGTGTCCCAACTGTTATGTCTCCTGAGAGTATTAACAAAAATGGTCATGTCTTATCTCCATGCTTTCTCCCCTTTTTGTACCAAGGAGGTGTCTTAACCTGTAGAAATTACTTACATACTGAACTAATATCTTCACACACAACTTTGTGTGTTAGATGATGGAGTGACTGCATCAGTGGACAAGGGAAGAGCTATGGAAGCCATCTATCTGGACTTTTGTAAGGGTTTTGGTATGGTTCCCCACAACATTTTTGTCACTAAATTGGAGAGGACATTTAATGGATGGACTGTTACATGGGTAAGGAACTGGTTGGATGACTGTGCCCAACGAGTTACAGTCAACAGCTCAATGTCCAAGTGGAAACCAATAACAAGTGGTGTCCCTCAAGGGTCTGTACTGGGACCAATACCTTCATCCATGTATCATTGGTAATGGGATTGAATGCACCCTCATCAAGTTTGCAGATGACACTTGGCTGAGGGACCATGCCATCCAGTTGATAGGCCATCCAGAGGGACCTGGACAAACTTGAGGAATGGGACCATGTGAATGGGCCCATCAAAAAGTTCAACAAGGCCAAGTGCAAGGGCCTGCACATGGGCTGGGGCAATCACCAGGATTGGGGGATGAATGGATTGAGAGCATCCCTGCTGAGAAGGACTTGGAAGTACTGGTGGATGAAAAATTGAATGTCAGATGAGCATGTGCACTTGCAGCCCAGGTGGCCAACCGTATCCTTGGCTGCATCAAAAGCAGTGTGGCCAGCAGGTCGAGGGAGGTGATTCTGCCCCTCTACTCCACTCTGGTAAAACCCCACCTCGAGTACCATGACCAGCTCTGGAGTTCCCAGTACCAGAGGGACATGGACCTGTTGGAGCATGTCCAGAGGAGGACCACAAAAATGATCAAAAAGATGGAACACCTCTCGTAAGAGGACAGGCTGAGAAAGGTGGGGTTGTTCAGCATGGAGAAGGGAAGGCTCTGGGGAGAACTTCTTGCAGCTTTTCAATATACAAAGGGGCTTATAAGAAAGACGTTTTTTATAAGAGGGTTTTTTACCATGGCCTGTTGTGGCAGGACAAGGGGCAATGGTTTTAAACTAAAAGAGGGTAGGTTTAGACTAGATATAAGGATGAAATTTTTCACAATGAGGGTGGTGAGACACTGGAGCAGGTTGCCCAGAGAATTTGTAGATGCCCCATCCCTTGAAACATTCAAGACCAGGTTGGATGAGGCTTTGAGCAACCTGACTTAATGAAAGATCTTCCTGCTCATGGCAGGGGTGTTTGACCATATGATCTTTATAGGTCCCTTTCAACCTAAACCATTCTGTGATTCTATGATTGTGATCCAGTATAGTACAAACCTACTCCCTCTAGTACCCTTTCGAAAGGACAGAAAAACATAACTGAGTTTGTGTTCATACTTGCCCTCAACTCTGTCAGGTCAGTTTTCAAATACATCACCCATGTAAAATCAGGAATGCTTTTAAATGAAATTCCCACTATCACTGGGAATATCTTTCAGCTATATGAGAAACTTACTGATAAAAAGTATCTCCTGGTAGTTAAACTTATCCCATTTGTTCAGATTTATCTCTTTGTTCCTTGTAAAACTTTGTTCAGATTTACCCACATATCTCCTCAAAACTCCTGCTTATTACTTTGACTGCAGGCATTTCACTTTCCGATGCTTACAGAAAAGTATGATCTATCTGATATTTCCCCTTATTTTCTGGAGAAGTTGTCTGTACTTCTCATCTTTTTCCATGTGTTTAAAGACTATTTTGGGAAGGGATTTCTCTGCTAGGTAGCCTTGATTTTATTTGAGTTCTGGAAAAACAATTACAGAAAACTCATCACTTCCGATTTTTCAACGTAGCCTGCATAAAGCCTGGCAGAGCTCATGGAAAACTACTCCACAGTTAAGAGGAGGTTTAGTCTGTATCTATTGATCCTTGTACTAGTGAGTAAGTTCAGTCTTCAAGAGGCACAGTAACCTACCTTGGCTGTCCACAACAGACTTGTCACCAAAGCTGCATAGAGCAAGGCTTTGCCACAGAGAATGAGGTAAGTGAGCTTCAGCGAATTTCCATATCGCAAGTAGGACTCTGCAAATCAAACATAATTTGTGCATTGAATTATCATCATCACGAGATACTAGATCTAATATAGTTTTAATCAAATAAGAACTCTCGAAATCTTTACCTAAGTGATACAAAGGAACAACTAAATGAATGGTTCTGTTGACACAAGATAACAGGGGATGGGAAAGAACCCTGGGATTCAAAGAACTAAAAGATAAAGTGAGTCTAGGAAAGAGAGAGATTGGCTTTATACTAAGAAAGTATATCCCGATTGGCAATGTTTAACCATTGTGTGCCAAACCTACTGAAAAGCTAGGCTGTTCATGTGCATCCCCTCTAAGGAACTCAAATTAATCTGAATCACAAGATACACGGTTTTTTTCACTTGTTATTATCAGTGGCCTTATGAATGCTGCTTATACATCAGTGAAGTTTTACATAGCCCAGAATAACATGGTATCTAGAACTTTTAATCTTAGAGATTTTTCACTTTTAAGGAATAGCAGTAGTATTGAGACACCACCCTGACCTTGGTTCAGCTTTAAGATTCCTGAAACATTAAAGAAATTGGTGAAAAACAAGTGTGTAATTATGTATACATAAAGAAAAGAAACACAAGTGTTAATAGGGGTATCATCAGAGTCTGGAGGGGAATGTGACTTGTAACGAGAAGTATTCTGAATTTGATACTAAGAAATATTCAGAATTCCAGATTCTGAAACTTAATGTCATAATCACTTAGCCAAGTATGAATTTTTTCTTTCATGGCTGAGCAAGCAGCTTCTGAACCGAAGACAGTGTTAAGGAATGGAGGAGATGACAAAAAGAACAAGTTACACTCTATAGGAAGGTTCCACAATTTCTTTTGTTATTTTGAAAGGGAACCGTAAAGAAGAGCTAAAAAACACAAAACACAGATACATACAGCATGCACATACAACCCTCCCAAAGTATTTTTTCTTTTTAAATCTAACCTAAAAAATACTTAGATGAGGAGGTACACATTATTCTTGTAGTAGAAAACTCACACACCTTCTACTTAATATCAGTAAACTGGAATTAAAGTACATACAGATATTTGTTTGTGAGAAGACACACGTACCTTCTGTGAGTACACAACCTAAAAGACAAAAATGAACTGAAAGTCACGTTTATCTTCAATACAAACAGAATACAAATTTTAAAGTTTCAGTATACAATATGCTGCCTGATTCATTTTACTATACTATATATTTTAATATAACACAGAGATTTCTCAGTGAAAATCTGAAGAAACCTTTGAAAAAACTATAGACTTATAAAGATAATTCAGAAACAGAGGCCCAGGAATATGAAAAGACAAATCCAAATACCTACATATTTTATGTTATATATATATGTGCCACAACAACATCCTGTATAGAAGCTTTATATAGAGGTGTTTCACATCATAACCGCCACCCATTTAGCTTGTGATTTCCAGATTGTACAGCATGGTGATGCACAATTTTTACTCACCAGCATCACCATAGATGAATTTGTGTATTGATTCCACTGTTTCATTCTTAAAAAAATTGGCAACACACTCAAAACGACTCAAAGGGTTGAACCATTCCTGGGCTGAGATCCTTAGTCGGCTGGTCAATGAGTAGGTACTCCCGTTCCACATGGAAAACTCATCTGTCCCCACCCCTTGGGTCCTCTTAGCACCGTTCACCTTCCAGACCAGATTCAAGTGGTCGGGGTAGAAACCGGAGGCCAGGCATACCAGCGTGGCCTTGCTCTTCTGTTGGATCTCTTGCTTTGATGGGGAAAAGATGGCCACAGCTGGTGGTATGATTTCATCATTCTTCCCTGAAACAGATAGCAATGCGGCCCAGAGCCTCCATTACTGTCTTCAATCAGAAACCTCTTACAATTGTACTGTATTTGTGCTCTGTGACTCCTAGTATATCTGGCCTTTTAACAACTGTCTATTAGACAATATCTATTGGATAGGTAGACACCAGAAAACTGAAAGCATTTGTCTTCACTCGTTACACAGGAACCTAAAAGATGTGGCTATAGAAATGCATGAGTGTTTGAATTTCTAGTACTGTCTCTGTCAGAAGAACAGGAAAGCTGAAAAGAAGCTGAGCAAACAGATAGGCAGAAAAATACCCAGTAGTGCTATAGGGCTGGTATTCGTAATATTGTATTAACACATAATATAACACATATATATAACACTCACATAACACATAAGAGGCTGTGTTATAAGGCACAAGCATCTTCAGCTGACTGCATTTACATTCCTGGACATGTCCTAAGACATGTTGGTTATTGTAGTGTTCAGAATTATACTGCCATGTGACACCCTACTTGGACTCTAACCCCCCATTCTAAGCGGTGACTTGAAAAGAAAGAGCTAATCTTTCTCATTGAAGTGAAGAACATGTTAGGTAGGTAACCTGAATCTGCCTGGGACAAGTTTTGCTTACAGTGTTAACTTGCCATACTTTTTTAAGACTATGAAATATCTCTTTATGTTATTATTTCAGTTATTCTACATATGAGAATTCTTCATCTTAGACTACACGTCTTCCCAAAATGATGCAACATTCTGTACACTCACAAACCAAAAGACGTCCCCTGTCCTAAAGTGTTTAATATCTACATATAAGACTAAAGACAACAGACTTTTATGGTCAAACGTACGTACAAGGCAACAATGACATGTTACTCAGAAGCTAGGCCATAATGCTAAGAGCCACCTTTCTTTTTTCCCCTATATACTTTATTAGGGTACCTTTTTTCTCATCTAGTATGATAAACCCACCAGGTCTGCACAGTGCACACAGAGCCAAAGAGAAAAGTTTTACTTTTTTTTGGTGTGAAGCCACTATAAATTACAGATGTTTTTCCTGATCACTCCCCTCCTTTCTAGAGTGGAAAGAATTAGCAGAATTCACAGAAAGTTGTCTTGCATCGATCTTGACCACTAAGCCCTATTGTTTGCTTTCAACAGTTAGCCTCAGTCACCGTTGTCAGTGTTTACTCTACAAAGATCTCTGGGTGTTTCTGTGAAAACTTATGAGGTTGTAGAGGCTTCAGAAGAGGTAACTAGGTAGTAATGGCAATAACTCCCTAGAAGATTTGGCACTGCCCTGCTTTCCTTCCAGTGGACATGAGGAGAGGTTGATCACTTTTACTGCTCCCTTCTAGTACTTGGCTTTATGAATTTTTTTTCCTAACCTAAAAGTAACTCTGATGTAAGTTCATTGGTTCGTACCCTAAATGGCTAATGAGTGAAGACACGGAAACAGATAGGGAGAACACAAAAGAAAAGTGAGAGACATTTAACAGACTAAAACAAAAAAAAAAGACAGAGAGGAAGGCAGGTGAAAAATGTAGGCAGAAAAATGATAAAACTACTGGAAAGACAAAGAAAGACAGAGAATAAGCATGCTTGAAATGGATTGAGATTGGTACAAGCAAGAGCAGAGACAAACAGTAAAAAGTGTTATCAACAGCCCATTCTGTTCAGCTCTTCCACAGTGTTCATGGCAGACACTGGCACAATGCTTAATCACTTCCATGCATAAACATATGCATTCTGTCACACATTCTTCACCCAACTGAAGTAACACAGTTCTTCCATTCCCATCATGACAAGGTCAGTTTCATGATTTCATGTTTTCTTTCACTCCTACTCTCATTTTAAAATCATCTGTGTATATGCTACATATCATTAATGCAAGGGAAATTTTCAACTGCATTGACTACTTGGGTTAATCACAGATACTTACCTATAACTCTGAGCACAGTGCCAACTCCAAAGATAAGTTGCACAGTTAAAAAGCACAGCTGTACACAATCAAACCATAATCCACAGTGTCATTATGCTTTTCTTGCCAGCCAGCCAGTTCCTTAAAATAGTACTGTTTAAAGGAGCAGGCACCAGTATTTCTACAGTTTGCTATCAGATGTGGCAGTAGCAGGTGGAAGAGTTTATTAGATCATGTTGAATCCATTCCTGGGAGGGGATTAGGCAGGGAAAGCAAATGGGGAAAAAAAAGACAGAGGACAGGAGAAAAGCACACTGAGAGAAAAATATAGACCTTTTTGAGAATTAAAAATCATGAAAAGGACTGTTAGAGGAAGCCAGTATCCCAAAGCAACTTTAGGCAGCCTGCCCACCACCTATGGAGAGGGGAGCAAAATACTAGCAAGACTACTCTT